TTATGTATACAAGAATAACTATGAAATTTAATGGTCTTATTTCTAGCAATTTTCTTCCATAAACCATAACAGTCAAAGCTCAAAGGGATGCTCGCAAATTTACCAGATACATTTTTTGGAATATTTTAGTCTTCGAAACAAAGGGTAGCTGTCAAACTCTTACAGCATAATCTAAAATGGTAATTCACGTACTGTATTTCATTTGTAATAAGTCTTTGTGATAAGGTTAACACTTCAACCCACAACACAGATAGGAGAGCACCAAAAAATGAAAATTACTTTGCTTATGTTTCCGTATTAGAATTTTATTTGCTAAAGGGTAAAAACAGATTTGCAAAATTCACAGTTAACTTAAAACAATAGTTTAAAACCTTTTATTCCTAGCCCTTACTGCCTTCAGGAAGGAGAGAACATCTGGTTATTTAAGGAACACAATATGTTCACATTTTCTATGACTTTTGTTTCTAATTGGGTTTAATTTTTTTTAAAAATTTGAGCAACTAGTTAGAACAATGTTTTTTAATCACTTCATATTTTTCAGACTGTCCTCTTTCTACCCCTCTACTTCATTCACTGGATTGTTCTGGAAATCTGCTCAGTGGTACTAATTTGATCAAGACGAGAAAATGAGAATTGGGGGGTAAACTTAGAAACTCTATTGACAGCGTGCAGGGTGTAAGACATTGCAAATATATACCCGATACGTAGGCTCTTCAGACAGCACAGGCTTTCAACAGCTTCATGTAATTCTAGGTTCACTTCACTATGTGGCAGTTTCACTTATTGCCTGTGCAGACAAATGTGCATTAAAAGAGGAGTTGGTCTGAGAAACACTGGCACCACTGCTCCATGGCCGTCAACACGGAGGAAGCTCGAGTCTGAAGACCTGGGTTCATGGCTGGCTCTGCCACGGACCCTCCAGGTCTCTGCACTTCACCTCCGCAGCGTGTTCTTCATGAAAAGAGGAAGTTAAGTGAAAAGACTCTTATTTCTCTCCTCCATTCTGAAATTTTGACAGTTTAAGTGAAGTGTATTAGCCCGATACTGTTTTTCATTCCTTCTTTCTCCTGTAATACTTGAAGGCAATAAAAGTTTAAAAAATTCTGACACAGCAAATTTAGGTACTCGGAGCCCTTTAAGTTGGAAGTCAATTCATTACCTTGATAAAAATGGCAGCTGACAAATTTGCACTTGGCTATGGCTTCTGCAGATACGTGTTCTACAAACCTGTTGGGTAAATGAGGTCTGTCTTGACTAGAGTCGGTATGGTGCACTGGAAAGAAGGCTCGTGTTTGAGTCAGAATTGAAGCCTCCCATTATTAATAGTAATACACGCAAGAAATGAAATTAATTGTTAAAAAGAATGACCCCAAGGAAAGTAAGAATAACGGCCCAAATGAACCTGCGAAGAGTTGAACTCTAAGGTCCTTGCTTGGCAGATTGAGGCCAACCAGAGGTATCCTGAACGAAAGAGCTGGAAATCTCCTTCCAGAGGCCACGGCCATTGGAAACCCAGTGGAGTGGGATGGTACTCAGACACACCTGGGGTGAGCATGAGGCCGAACCCACATGGTACTGGTGGGGACTCAGAGTGGGGCGCACATGCGGTGTGAGCCCGAGGACGGCTTACCGAGCAGGTAGAACGGGCACTGAGGATCTGCCAGGAGGGGCTGAGCCAACATGGGAGCCAGGGGCTACTCTAGCGAGAGTACTCATTGGATGGTCACAAACGTTTTGATCCTGGCAAAGACAGACCACCTTAAAAGGCACGTGGAAAGCAACCTACTTTGCTTACATGTAAGGATCAAAGTAAGTAAGTGGAAGTGCTTGGAAAACTGTGAAAAAGGATGATCCTGTTATTACAGGTCCATTATTTCCGCCTGTTCAAATGAGAAATCTTTCCACGGTCAAGATGACCTCTGCTATCACACAACTGGAGCACTGTGTCTCAAGCTCTAAGTGCACGGTCTGGGTTTCATCGGAGCCATTTCCTCTGGGGCTTACGGATGGTGGCGGGCGGACAAAGTGCTTTTCTGAGGGCTGGCAACGAACTTGTGAGGGCTTAGTGCGCCTTACTGTGTTCAATCTGTCAGCCGCACTCAACACCACTGTCACAGGAAGCTGGGCCACGGGCAAGGGTGCTTTCAGGCTCACATCTCCTCCTTGGACCTGCTCACTTGCTAGAAACGTGTTGATTCACTCACTCCGAGCTTTTGGTAAGCACTCAAGACTGAGTTAGGTATTTTAAGCGCTTCATTGTTGTTAATAAGTAGAAAATATGTATACCACTGGGTTGTTTGGAATTTTAGAAATTAGGGATATTAGTGCCACCTTCCCACCTGCTTCCCTCCTCCCCCCAGCATAAACAGCTTTTTTTTTTACGATGAACATGAACTCTGCCATATGTAGAGCTCCACAGGGGGTGTAAATCTGCTGGTTGGTTTCCTGCCCACCCACCCCCTGACCTTGTATCTTTGCTACATCGAATTGGTTCTTGTTCGTCCTCTACGGTCAGTTCTTTATGGACATAGGGTGCTCTGGTTGGGGTCACCATAAGAGAGAATTTAATTCGGCTTCCAAATGTCAAAAAGGGACATCACTCAGTAAGGATACACTTCCCCCAATTGCACAGATGGGATGTGGTGGAGCCACGGTTTGACCCGCAGTCCCGGCTCCTAACTCAGTTTCTGTGCAGGCCACCGCACTGCCAGGGACACGCAGTGAGCACCAATGTCAAGTGCCACTCAGTAGTCACTGCTTGACATGTGGCTATGAGATACAATCAAGTATGGCTGTCTGAAAGCCCCTTAATGTCACACCGCTTTCGCTTTTTCTCCAAACGCCACTGTCCCATGAACCTGTTCTCCAGGAGCCTTTTCAACTTGACGCCCTCTACACCCAGTTTCTTACATCGACTTTGCCAGAAGTAGCTGGCGAAGGCCTTACATTTTGTATCATTATCTTGATCAAGTTTTACTTGGCAAGACTATGGCTGTAAAGGTGAGGAATTCTCACTGCTAGATATTTACGCTTTAATGTTTCTGTCTTAAGGCCTAAAGTAACTATTTTTCTAATGCTATAGGTCTTGCACCATTATGCTTTTTAGATTCTGTACACTTTAAAAATATTCCATTAAAATCACATGAATATAATAGTGCATTTATATTCCGGTGACAACACCGATGAATTTAGGAAGAGAATATAAAGATTAGCAGGATTGCTAAGTTAAATAGTAGTTTCTCCACATGACTGAAATAAACAAATCATACAAGCAGAAATTCCAAATTTCTATTTAAGCAATTACCCCCCAACTATCTCTGACTCCAGAAATTCCTAATGCTAAGCTGATTGAACTGTCCGAAGTACAGTGAACCCTCGCCACTTCGCGCTTCGACTTCCACGGCTTCACTCTATCACGGTTTTTGCGTAACAGCGCATGCTCTGTCATTACTGCCACTGATTGGCTCATACTGTATACGCTTGATGCCATAAATAATATAATAAATAATACATGATAATTGTAACGTCCAAAATGTTTTACTGTATTTTCCCTTTTTCGTTTAATAAATTGGATAATACGAGTGTAATGGTGACTAAAGGGTGTTTTTTCATGTCCTCTATGCTCTAACTACGAAAATATTTCATTTACAAATAAGGAATCCTACTTCGCGGAATTTCATTTATCACGGTAGGGTCTAGAACCGATTAACTGCGATAAACGAGGGTTCACTGTATATTTCATTGACCAGCATCTCCAAACTTTATTCTTCTTATAGTATTTCTCAGTCTTATTTTTATTTTTAAACACACACAAAGGCTTACATATACACTATGTAAATAAGAATATACATGTAAAATTTTTGTTCCCTACAGGGGTGCCAAACTTTACCCCAAACCAACAACTCAGCAACTACATAAAACAAAATCAATATCCCCCAAATGACAACATTGTATCCTTCCTTACGTACCAGAGGGCTTTCTGATGCTAAGTAAAATTGCTTGATGTAAGAGAGAAGACATAAGCGGTACACATTCTAACAAAATGACCAAAGCCTTAAGGTACTAACTTCTTTTTTCTTAATCAGAGACTAAAGGGCATATGCTCAAGTGTTGAAGTTAACAACCAAGGAAAGGGCAGAAATTCTTCATGTTCAAGATGTACAGTGAACCTGGAGGATCAAGTTTATCAGACAGAACTTGGCCCTGCAATCAATAGACAGACTGACTCAGACAGGTCGGCAACGCCAACTTGACTGTTGGGAGGGCTGCCAAAGAGCCAAAGACTGGGGTTGCCGTCCAATGCCTGGCATTCTCATACATCCCTTTGAAGCTTTCTCTCTCACACTCCATCCAGTATTTTCGTTTGGCTCCAAAGCAGAAATGATTCACAGATTTTTTTTTTTTAGATCTTTAAATGTTCTTATTTTCAAGAAATACAACATTAGTTGTAAAAGCGCACACTTTTGTTCTGAAGTGTAAAGAAAATTTTGGTGAGTGGCTCTAGGCTCAAATAGAGAAATGATCATTAAAGTCTGTTCTGTTTAAACCTTTATCTTATTAGGTTACCTGTAGCCCACAAAATAAGGTGAAATAATGTAGTATTTTATTGTACCATAAATTCTTTTAGAACCGGCCCATTTTATAGGTCTAACTTCCGGGTCTTCAAACGGCCCTCGGGGATCTACTTGGCTAAGGCATCCCACGAGAGGGCTTCCAGTCAATGGTGATGAAGTGTGGGTGGAAGGGGCAGTTGCTAACTACTGCGAGGTACGAGGAAGGCAGGGGGCAGAACCACCCATCTTGGGGACAAGCGGAGTTTGCTCCGCTTGCTCCTGACAGTGTCCACTTCATTTACCCACGGAGACGTGGCTAGCGAAGCACACGGATCTTGGCTCAGAAACCTGAGGGAAATTCTAACCTGTTACGCATCCTTGGGAGTCCAATAGAGAATCCTTTTCTTCACGAGTTCAAGTGGTGGACCTCCTACTTAGAAAGCTTACCTTTGGGTCTCGAAGGTACAGAGCCTTAAGGATCAGCGAGTGTACGTCCCCCATGGGTGGGTAATGCATGAGAAGACCCAGGCAGGTCTGGTAGTTACTGGAGATCACTAAACGAGAGAGGAAACATAATTCAGAAACAATAGAGTTTTAATATATTTTGCATTACTAAAAGTATAGAAACTACAACCTACCCATTCCAAGAAAGCAAACCAATAATTCGAGTGAATGACTAAGAAAGAGGAGCTAGGGAGAAGGGATTCCTACTGGTTGTCCTTTGAAGCAGCCTGCTGAATCAGGGGGCTTTGGAGGAAGAACTTCAGTATGTGTGCCTCTAATATCCACGAGCAGAAGTGTGCACACTTACTGCTTCTTCTATGGCTGCCTTTAAATGCCCCTTGCATTGCTGTTTACAAATTAGTAACAAAAATGTTCTGAATGGGAAAGAGCCAATACAAAAGCCCTTAAAATATTTACCTTGGCTATTCTACAAAACTTCCATGTTATATTTAATCATTAGTATAGATACAATGTCATATATTTCAAAATTAAAAGAGAAAATTTCTTCCTATTTCTCCTCCCCGCAAAGTGCAGTAAGAAATTTATGGAGACTATCTCTGCAATATTTCTTGGAAGCAAAATGTCAGAATCTTCATATATAAGTCTCACTGTGTTCCTTAGAATGTCACTTTTTTTCCCCCAAACCAACCTAATTATGAGTGCAATTATTACATGCATCTTTTGAGGCAGGTCTATGTAAACTCCTTCATTTCTTGGCAATCCATCTGCCACTGCTGTCACACTTGGGCCCATTAATGATGCTTGTTTTGTGAGCCACACTGCCTGCCTCCCTACCCCTGACTGCGAGTAAACTTTACAGTGACAACAACTTCCTGGGGTCATAACCAAACCCGTGTCACTAATCAGAAAGGTTAGTTGAAACACCTCCCATAGGAAAAGGACTGTGATTTAATTGCAAGCGATACAAATTGCCAAAGAAACAATTGTGTTTATGGCTTGCAACACCCTTGGTTCTTAGATTCTTTTTCTTCTTCGGTTGCAAAATGTACCGCTCCCTTGCTGTAGCTCCCCACCCGCCCCCTTTCCCATGAGGATTACAGGGAAAGGAGACAGGACTGGGCAAAATGAATAATTATAATCTATGTAAGGAACCACTTTATCATCTTCATTTCCGTTGCTGATCTGACAGCTTGTAATTTCATACATCTGCTTTCATTTGTAAAGCACTCACTTATCCTACCCTTTCTATATCTGTTCCGACTCTTCTTTTCTTATTTGCTCATTTTTTCATATGCATAAATGGCTACCTGTTGTCCTTTTCTACAGAGAATTCAAAAAGCTAGAACACTGAGCAATGTGTATAGTATAATGTGTTCACAAAGAGTTTTCTTTAGGGTCTACCAAGTACATAGACCCTAGACAATCAATTCAACTTATAACTGATTTTCTAAGATCTTATAATGGTTGTATATTAGTAACTGATCCAAGAAAGGTAAGGGCATTTAGTAGAAAGGGTTCTAGCATAGGTTTGAATCCTGGGGTCCCCACTTAAACCTTTCAGAAGGCTGCCTGAAGATTAAATGACATCATCTTTGTATGTGACCATTTGTAGCAGCTTCTCAAAATCTTAATTTGCCGATGAAAGAAAGTCTACCTCATTCAACACAGTAATTATTTATTGAGAACCACGACAGGCTCTTGTGGTGCTAGGAAATGTGGTTATGAACAAAAGTGTCCTTAAGACACTCAGCGTAGAAGGGCAAGTGTACAGCATAAGAACGGCTATCACTCCTACCACTGCGATAATGATGAATTACTGAAGGCTTACTGTGGTCAGGCCCCACTGTTAATTTAATTCTGTCACTACACTTACTCACCCCTGCTTTACAGATGAGAAAACAGATGCAGGGAAATAGGAGTGATTTTCCCAAGCCACACAGGGCTTGGGTGTTGCTGATGGATTCGAATCTCAGAAGTCTAGCTTTTTTAGGTTTTGTGCTAATACATGATTTCGTTTAGAAAGGCATTGTTTAGAAAATCAGACGAGATTAACAGATGCTAACAGTTATTATAAAGAGTAAAGTGGACAGCTATTACTACTCTTGGGCAGTAGTTTCAAATGACTCATTTCAGGAAGGGGAAAATAAAGGTGAGTGGTATCTAAGAAAACATTTGTTGTTAGATGCCATCGAGTTGACTCCAAGCCATAGTGACCATATGCACAACAGCCATCCTCACAATTGCTCCAATGTCTGAGGCCATTGATGGGGCCACTGTGTCCATCCATCTCCTTGAGGGCCTTCCCCTCCTCTCTGCTCCTTCATGATGCCCTTCTCCAGGGACTGGTCTCTCCGGACAATCTGTTCAAAATATGTAACATGAAGTCTTGCCATCCTTGCCTTCAAGGAGCACTCTGGCCTGACTTCTCCCAACATAGATCAGTTTGTCCTGTTAGCAATCCATGGTACTTTTGATATTCCTCTCCAGCACCACAACTGCAATGCCTCCGCTCTGCTTCTGTCTTCCTTATTCAACATCCAACCTTCGCGTGCTATGAGGTGATGGAGAATGCCATCATAGGCGCTTATCAGTCCTATAACATCCTTGCTTTTCAATACTCTAAAGAGGTCTTGTGCAGCAGGTTTACCTAATGCAGCACATCTTTTGATCTCTTGCCTGCTATTCTTTGAGCATCGATTGTGGATTCAAAAAAGTCAAAATCCTCAACTTCAACCTTTTCTCCAGTTACAGTGATGTTACCTATTGGTTCAGTTGGGAGGATTTTGGTCTTCTTTACATTGAGTTGTCATCCACACTGAAGGCTGCAATACTTGATCTTCACTAGCAAGTTCTTCAAGTGCTCCTCACTTTCAGCAAGCAAGGCTGTGCCACCTGCATATTTCAGGTTGGTCCTAAGCCTTCCTCCAATCTCAATGCCACGTTCTTCCCCAGAGAATGCAGCTCCTCTGATGATTGGGTCAGCATGAAGATTGAACAGGGAGGGTGAGAAAATACAACCTGAACACACCTTTCTGGCTTGAAAACCATGCAGTAGTCCCTTGCTCTGTTCTCATTTTTGCCCTTTGATCCACGTTCAAGTTCCTCATAAGCACAATGACGTGTTCTGGGATTCCCGTTCTCCTCAAGGTGATCCACTGTTTATTATGGTCACACAGTCAAATGCCTTTGCATAGTCAATGAAACACAACCATCTTTCTGCTATTCTCTGCTTTTCTCCAAGATCCACGTGACATCAGCAGTGATATCCCTTGTTCCATGTCGTTTTCCGAATCTGGCCTGAACCTCTGGCAGTTCCTTGTCAATGTACTCCTGCAACTGTTGTTAGATGGTCTTCAGTAAAATTTTCCTTGTGTGTGAGATCAATACCGTTCTATAGTTTGAACTTTCTGCCGGGCCACCTTTCTTTGGAATGGGCACAAATATGGATCTCTTCTAGTCAGTTGGCATAGAAACTGTCTTCCAAATTTCTTGGCAGAGATGAGCAAATGTTTCCAGTACTTCTTCAGCTTGCTGAAACCTTTCAAAGGGTATTCCATCAATTCCTGTAGTCTTGTTTTTGGCTAATGCTTTCAGTGCAGCTTGAACTTCTTCTTTTAGCACCACTGGTCCTTGTTCATATGCTACCTCCTGAAAGGGTGGACTGTTAACTGGTTCTTTTGGCACCGTGACTCTCTGTGTGTTCTTTCCATCTTCTTTTGATGCTTCCTGCATCAGTCGATAGTTTGCCCACAGAATTTTTCAAGATTGCAATTTGAGGCTTGCATTTTTTCTTGAGTCCTTTCCATTCCAAAAACGCCGAGTGTGATCTTCCCGTTGGTTTCTAACTCTAGGTCTCTGCAGATTTCACTAGGACATTTGGCTCTGTATTCTTGCCCGTGGAAGTTTTCTACTCGGCTCTTTGACTTCCTCCTTTCTTCCATTGGCTTTAGCCACTCTGTGATGAAAAGCAAATGTTAGAGTCTCTTCTGACAACCACTTTGATCTTTTCTTTCTTTCCTGTCTTTGTAGCGATTCTTTTGCTTTCTCCAGGGATGGTGGTCTTGGGGTCTCTCACCGCTCATCAGGTCTCCTGTCATTAGTGTTCAATCAGTCAAATCTATTCTTTCGATGTTCTCGCTAGTGAACTTGTTTTAATTCTCTTCCACTTTACCCTGAACATAGAGACGAGCAATCAGCCTGGTGTTCGCTGCTGCTATTGAGCATACCCATCATGTGGTCACACCTATGTAGTCAGTCTGATGTCTGTGTACTCCATCTGGGAAGTTCATGGGTATAGCTGCCTTCTGTGCTATTGAAAAAGGTCTTTGCTATGAACATACCATTGGTTTTGCAAAATTCAATCATGTGCTCTCTGGCTTCATTTCTATCACCAAGTTCCTTTTTACCAACCACTGTTCATTTCTGTTTAAAATGATTGCATTCCAATCACCAATAATTATCAATGCACCTTGGATGCATGTTTGTTCAATTTTTGACTGACGTGTTGGTAGAACTCTTCAATATCTTCATCACTAACTTTTGTGGTTGGTGCATAAATCTGAATAATAGTTGCATTGACTGGATTTCCTAGAGGGCAGACAGATAGAATCCTATCTCAGACAGCCTTGTACTTATGCTGGATTTAGCAAGATACTTTCTGACAACGAATGCCTAGCCTTTGCCCTTGATTTTGTTATTCCCGGCATAGTCAATCATAGGATTTTCTGATTCCAAATGGCCAACAGCAGTCCATTTCAGTGCTCTAAAGCCAAGGATATTGATCTTTAGGTGTTCCACTTCCTTTTTGACTACTTCCAACTTTCCTAAACTCATACTTTGCACATTCCATGTTCTGATCATTAGAAGATTTTTTTTTCTGTTTCTCCTTGAGTGGTGCCCTTTCAGAAAATGAAGATCCTGAAAATGTCACGCCACCACAGGCATTACTTGACTCACATCACCAAGGGCAATTCCCCTCCAAGAAATCAGTTCCTCATCGCATTTCAAGTGCCCTTGGACCTGAGGGGCCCATCCTCAGGCATGTCTCAGACAGTGTTCTGCTTCCTCTGTGTAGGCTTTCAGTATCTGA